GTGTTTTAAAGAAATATTTTCAGTGTCAGCGTTGGTACTGTCGAATTCACAAATTATGAATTATTGAAAATTAGAAACAACTAAATAGCGGCGTATGTTATGCCGCGGGCCGGCTCGTATTATTTAAATTAACTACTGCTTCTTTGTGTTCTTTAAAGATCATTTTTAACATAGAGATAGGTATGGGTTAGATCACTGTATTGATCACAAACCTTTTTACTGGTAAATGCAAAAACAATATTCACAGAGTTTTACGTTTAAAAAGATAATTTTCTGGCGGTATGGTACTTTGGTACATCACTTCGCGTTTTTCTACATGTACTTAACAGATAAGTTCTGGGTGGGGTGGGGGGGTGGGTTCAACTTCATTCACCACTGTCCGGTCTCTTTAGGTCAATTATCCAACCCAGTGTATACCTAGGTGTGACATTAATGTCGCTCTACACAATTGTGGTGGTGAGGTGTGTGTGTGTGGGGGGGGGGGGAGATAACCAACTCAGAGTGAACATAGCGTCAGTTTTTAGATGACTGTTCTAAACATACATAATATTACACAAATGTATATTACACAAATATATATTACACAAATATATATTACAGAAATAGATTTAAATAAGTAGCAGTGGTATTATGACAATATTTTGTTACAGAGGGGTCCATGGGGGAAGGAGGTTGTAACTGTTTCAAATAATTTGTAATCGTAATCACTATCGCCCAAACTGTAAGAATACTACTACTTCATCGTGATGACGTTGTTGACCTTGTCAAAATTTCCCCACCACTACGCAGTTTGCTCATAAGTAAATTAAAATAGAGGTGCCACATCAGTTGTATTTGTTTCTGTATTGTAATTTTTTTTTAAATTAATCACATGATTCAAACTGTATATATAAAGTAATTATGTGTGAAGTTTTATGTATAACATTTTCTAAATCAATTATTCGTAAGCAAATACATTATACAGTTGCCTTAAACTTAACACCTCTTGCCAAGTGGTACTACCCGTAGAGGTTTTTTAAACATTGCAATGCATCGTAATGGTTATTTTTAGAATGGCAAACTGATGCAGCTGTTAAACGTGTTGTAAACGTAGACACTACTAGACTAGTACAGTAATGCTTAATTGCTGCATGAAAAGAAATCTCATGATTTACATGACCAAAAATATTTTTTTAACAAATATCATTGTTTAAAACTTTGAGTTTAAAAAGTTTCCAAAAAGGCGCCACTTTGCTGAAAATGGCCAGAGGGGGAGCGGCCGCTCCCCCTGCTCCCCCCCCCCCCCCCTGCGTACGCTACTGACTCACAGATCTATTTCTGCCATCGCTACAAGGGGTCTTTCAGTCCGCGTCACAGACTAATTGTCAACATCGATCGGACATCGATCTTATTGAAACGTAGCATGGGTCATTCGAATCCATTCATTTTTTTTCCTACTAGTATTTTTTTCCATATTGCCAGATTTTTTCCTCTTTTGTTTTCAAGCAGCCAAATAAAAAAAAATTAATTTACATCGAAAACAAATGGAGTGTAGCTGCTATGGAGTAATCAAATATTGTGACAGACGATTTGGCAAGGATGGGGGAGGGGGAAGAAGGGAAGTAGGAGCAAGGGGAGTGAAGCAGATCAGAGGCAGATCCATCATTTCTCAACAGGGAACAACGCAAAATAATGTTTACAAATATTCTTACTTAAGATCTATGTAAATAGTAACTAAATACTATATTTAGTGGATACAGTAGATGCTTTGATATATTTATCTAAGTTATTCATAAGACGGTAACGAAAAATTTAACTCAAATACAAAATGAGAGGTTACACCTATGAATGAACTCTGACAGTTACAAATTACTTGGTTTTTATATAAATGGAGATATAGATCTTGCTTAAACGCTGGCCACGAAACAAACTTCAAGAAGTTACAAAACGTCAGTTTCTTTCTGGATTAGTGGGAATTCATTCTGTTGTGTGTGTTTCTTAAAAAGCGTACAATACTAGGCCTACTATTACTAAAGGTTTGTTATCTTTTTAATGAAATGCTAAATAATATATTCACGTTAGTCACAATTTGTTTGTAAATGAATTTTTTTTTTAATTAGCGAAGAACGCCACTCTTTTAAAAAAAATTTGTACAGAACTTGTTTCTCTTCTGATTAATTTCAGTTGATGATAGACATGGCACACACTCTAAGTATTTATGTGAAAACAAAAATTCTCGAGGAAAAACTAAAGAAACAAAGAGCCAGAATCGAATATGGTTGTGTGCGGACAATGCGGCAACACGCGGAGAAAAAAGATCTGCTAGTGAACGATCTGGTTCTTCTCTATGTAAAAACTCCAAGCCTCGATCTGACGTGTTCTGATTCCATGGATACAAAGTTTCCAGAAGAAGCCAGATCATTGACAACAATGACAGTTTTACCAGTGATTAAATCTAATAACTGTGTACGTGACAAAAAACATGTTGAATTACGACAAGAACAAATTGATATTTCAATACCAAAAATTAGAAACTCGTTTGAAGCGCCTCATGTTGAAGTCTGCGGAGACCTTGTTTACTACACTTTTGACAAACACACCGTCCCGGTTTTGTGGAAAAAGACAAAAGTCGACGAAAAAATGAAATTATTACTGAGAAGAAGTAACAACATAACGAAAACACTTCAACAGTGTAGCGGGAAAACTTCAAAGCCCAATAACTTTGAAAAACTCGCACCCGGCGTCTCTTTTACGGGCAGAAGGTTCGCAGATTCCTTGAGTCGGCCAGATTTTTCCAGACTAGGTCGAGAGATGTCAAACATAGAAACCAGATCCGTGGACAAGAACCCGCAGGCTCAGCTGTCACGTTTGTCACAGGATCGAAACCCGGGTGTGCTGGATGGACCACTGTTGGTCCAATGGTGCATGTGGGGGCGGTATTCGGGGTCACGTGACATCAGTTCAGTACGCCATCTTGCAATACACCGGAAGTTTTCCAGTTTCACTACAGACTTGTAATGAATGAAGTGCCTGTCCAAATGTAGAGTTCACCTGATTCTGTGACTTAGGCATATTAAGCAGAGGCGTAGCGACCCTTCCCGGGGACAAACTTTCGATTTGCACCCCCCCTTCAAACTTTCGATTTGCAACCCCCCCCCCCCTCAAACTTTCGCTTTGCACCCCCCTCAAACTTCCAATTTGTTTTTCCAACCTATTTTGGCGCCCCCTAAAGTCGGCACCCGGGGACATGTCCCCTCCCCCCCCCCCCCCCCCCCCCCGCTACGCCTCTGATATGAAGGGATAGTGTGGTCAGTACTATGCTCAGCCATCTTTACTTTCCCTAAAGCGAAGGAGTTACCCATCAGAGGGGAGTGGATTCTAAATCGAGACTTTTTGGTTAGCAGTCTAGCGCTATACCTCTAAGTGTATATACAATTTTGAATTTGACACCCCACCCCCCAATACCATCCCCTTATGACATCCAGTCCAGAATTCTGTTCACATTCTAACCTATTTTGTACATTTGCAAACAAGTTTAAGCCTAACCCAGATAACAAAACAACACATTAACAAACTATTGGATAGTACAACATAATGGCTTTTATTGGACAAAAGATAGCTTACTGTTCTGCTTAATACAACATAATGTTTTAAATATCAAATCTACCTGCAGCCAACAGTTGGTTTACTTCAGGTAAATTTTTACTCAAGCTTACATTTATCAAATACATTATTGAATAACATTATGCAATGTTAACTTTTTAAAAATAAACTATTAAGTTGAATAGGCCTATCATCTATTTTAAGGCAAAAATTCTGCTTTTTGTTAAACTGAAATTTTTTTTTCTTCCTCAAATAAATGTTTACAGTATTTTGACTAACCTTTTTATGTATTTGATTGATTTAATAATATGATAATACAAAATAAATTATTAAAGAACCTGATTAGCAAGCGACTTACAATTAAAACATTAAATGTTAATCAAAGAAGATTTTTAAAAAAACAGGAAATCGATCTATATTATCCCCTGGAAAGATGAAAGTATACCAGAACAACAGAGAACCAGTGTGAAATATATTAAGGTAAAAAAAAAAATTATCTAGAACAGATAGTAAAGCTAAAGATGTACAAAAAAAGTGGTTTTGATGTATATGTTAAACATATTAAAAAATAAAATCTTTCCCATTTGAATAATTACTTGCATAACTAATTAAAAAAAAACAACAACTTTTAAACATTTAAAACATTGTAAATGTGCAATGAAATACATCATGAAGCAGTGATAATTCAACAACTGTTAAACTAGGAAAAAAATGTAACAGTCCTTCTAATGAGTAAAGCACTAGTCTAGGTTACTCTACGTAACAGGTAATTTTTATTGAACATGGCACACTATTGCTGCTAATACTGTTTTCGTAACAAACATAACACTGTGTCGGTCATATGGAACAAATTGTATGAAAGTGTTGTCATTCTACAACAAAGCACCATATGTGTTATGATTTGGAATAATGGTTTGGTTTAGTTTCTCTTAACCTGCATAGCAACAGTTAACACAAATTTAGCAAAACAAAAAGTACTAAATATTAACATAGGTTAAAAAAAAATCATTGTTATAAAGGAGGAATATCAATAAAAATAAATAAAAATCTTGTTTTTTTATAACTACTTAAAAGAAAATATGCCATTTAACTAAGTGAAATCACAGAGATTATGAGTCAGTTTTTCTCTTAGGTGATTGTATCAGGTAAACCTGCTAAACTATTGTACTGGACACAAAAACCAGTACAGGTGAGTTATTTTTTTTCCTAGGTAAAACTAATAAGGCAGGTAGAATATCTGACCTCCCAACCCCACCCCACCCTTAGTGCTGTGGTTAACATTTAATCAAGGTGCTCTTGTCAGCAGAGTCCCTATCAATAGGGTCCCCATCACCAGAGACCCCATCAATAGGGCCCCCCCCCCCCCCCTCAGCAGAGACCCCATCAATAGGGTCCCCATCAGCAGAGACCCCATCAATAGGACCCCCCTCAGCAGAGACCCCATCAATAGGGCCCCCCTCAGTAGAGTCCCCATCAATAGGGCCCCCCTCAGTAGAAAGGCTTCTCTTTCTCCCAGAGTTGAGCTATGACCTTATCGATGGCGTCTGACTGGAACCTGTCCACAAATGACTGGACCACGCTAGCGGCAGATGCTTCGTAGGATTTCAACTTGACCTCACCATCTGCAATAAGTCACACAGAATTAGTTGAGAGAAAAACAGTCCATTCTTAAAAGCTAAAGAAATGCCAGGCTTTTGCAAAATCCCACTAGTTCATTAGATGGTGTAGTTAACTAATAGTTGAAGTATTTTGGGAAAGTCGATGATAAGTGGATGACAACATCATTGGCTCTAAATATGAAAGAACTAAAATATATTAAAGTTGATATTAAGTGGTTCTGAATTCAAACAACTGAAGTATTTCAGTAAAATGGGTGGTTGGATAGACTGCAGGTACCTAGGCAGATCAGCAACCATCAGTAGATGTCACTGAGCCAACCCAGCACTGATGGGTTCCTGCAGTGAGTACCTGCACTTAACGAGGACCAGCACTTTTAATGCGGACTCGCACTTAATGAGTACCAGCGATTATGTGAACAAGCCAACACTAACAAGTTGTGCGGAAGGAATTTGTAAACATAAAGCCTCAAACACAAACCTTCAACGTAGGTGTGGTGCTGGACAAACAGCTTGCGCGGCTGTTTCCTGTCCATCACAATGCTGCGCAGGCTGAGGAATTTGGGCTCATCCTGGTCATTGACGTCTGAGTAGAACTGGTACATTTTTCTTCCTGCCTCCACATCGGCTGTTGATTTGTACACCTGCAAGGTAACAAGTAAAAACATTACATGCCTGTAATAGAGATATCACCCGTACATTAAAAAATGTTGTATGCCCACTTTTTGAAAAAAAAAAAAAATAATTGATATTCATTTCCACAATAACACAAGGTTCAACAGCACAACTGTAAAATGTGGAAAATCTACAATGTACATGTGGAATCAGTGACAGATTCAGATGCCACTGTAGTGGGATTGAAAATTAAAACATTGCACTCTTGTATACAGATGACAGAGCGAGACAGGAACCTTTTATAGCTAAATCCTATCACAGAAAACAATCACACCACATATTACTACAAATGCTACTCCAGGTTAAAACAATTATAAAAAGAAGAATCTGCAAATTAATAAATAAATTACATAAAGGCAGATATACATACGTTAATTTATATTTTGACACCCTGGTGTAAGCGAGTGTATAGAAAGAAAACAAACATATGACTTGCCTGGAGTTTCCTCAAGAAGGCACCAATGGCAGGTTTACCAACAGAGTTAATTTTAGCCCGGTCTAAGACTACACGGAGATCAGGTTTGCCATCCTCTCCGGTGAACTTCTCAACTTTGACCAGACCCTCCCCAGCTTCAAGCAGAACACGGAGGATCACAAACCTGGCATTCATGTGTGCCTAGAACAAGAAGAAAAATATTTCAAATTTAGAATTAAGCTTTTTATTTGGATAAACACTGACAATATAAATAAATATGACGTTTCTTCATTAGATGGGACGGCGTGGTCAGACAGTAGAGTACACCACTGAGAACCCAAACGTCTCGAGTTTGATCCCTGACTTGAGTAGGACATCCCTAAGTCCTCCTAGCTCTGATAAATAACTAATTCACTTTAAAGTAGACAGATGGGAATAGAAGTGACCACATGCTTTTATATGCTGAGGTCACAGAAACAGTTGAACTTCATCTGCCCTAGTGACCGCTAAGAAAAACTTAGTTTTTCTTAGTTAGACTCAAGTTTGCTCTTTTTCTTAAGTCCCATCAACAAACGCATGACAACATACAGGTATAATAGGCTCGTGCACCAACCTGCCTCCATGAGCGTGTCTCAGGAGAATAAAACTCCAGCGCCATGAGTCCAGCTCTGACCATGTTCAGCCAGTTCACATAGATGACATCATCTGCTTCATCTTCAGTGTGGCCGAAAATTCTGAAATTCAAGTCCCAAATAAATACTGACCCACAACAATAATCAAAAGATTTTAAAAAAATAATAACCTAAACCAACCTGTTAAAACAAGATTTTAAAAAACATAAAATCCAAACTGAATTAAATCTTTTTTTCATTTCTGAATGCAAAGATAAATATTAAAAAAGAAAGATGAATACTCTTTTAAGTATTAAATGCCCATCAAATGGTTCCTCCTTTAAATACGTATACATCCTATTGATAATTCATATAAGCTTTTCCTAAATGGCATGCAATCTAAAATTATAACCAAGCAAAAAGACACCATGCCTAATTTTTTAAAATAGGCTTTGTAAATTTATCAAGGAACCTACTTAAGAACATCAGTCCACAAACACAGGTATTTAGACACCTAAAGGTACTGTTTTTATCAAGGGACCTATTTTAGAACATCAGTCCACAGACACAGGTATTTAGACACCTGAAGGTATTGTTCTAGCAGTTAATTTATCAAGGTACCTACTTGAGAACATCAGACCTAAGACAGGTAGACACCTAAAGGTAATGTTTTTATCAAGGGACCTACTTGAGAACATCAGACCTAAGACAGGTAGACACCTAAAGGTAATGTTTTTATCAAGGGACCTACTTGAGAACATCAGACCTAAGACAGGTAGACACCTAAAGGTAATGTTTTTATCAAGGGACCTACTTGAGAACATCAGACCTAAGACAGGTAGACACCTAAAGGTAATGTTTTTATCAAGGGACCTACTTGAGAACATCAGACCTAAGACAGGTAGACACCTAAAGGTAATGTTTTTATCAAAGGACCTACTTGAGAACATCAGACCTAAGACAGGTAGACACCTAAAGGTAATGTTTTTATCAAGGGACCTACTTGAGAACATCAGACCTAAGACAGGTAGACACCTAAAGGTAATGTTTTTATCAAGGGACCTACTTGAGAACATCAGTCCACAAACACAGGTAGATGCCAACACTCTCAGCACGACACTCCTCATAGGTGGATGCTATGGTGGAAAACTTGCTGTCCCATGTCTCCCCATGCTTGTACCAGCTTGTTATCTAACCAAAGTTAAACATTTTAAATAAATAATCTTTATGAAATAAATAGAGAATCAACAACACTACATCCAACTCTTCAAGAAAAAACTTATTCTGTGAATTATATCTCTAAGCATAAATTAAAAACACCTTCCTCTTGGATAATATTAAACACATTAACATGGTATACTTTTAAAATCTACTCCTAAAAATATACTATTAAGCCACATTACTTTTGATTTAAAACAAGTTAATAAAAAGTCTAGTGACAATTTAAGCGCAATTTCCTTAATTAATTTTTTGTGACTGAACGAAAGGATATTTTTGAAAACTTTCTTCGGCAATATTTTTCTAAATTATGGCAGGAATCGGTAAATGTTTCAAGTTGCTAAGTGGTCTGGTTGCAGAGATATGGGCCAAAAACTGCATTTTTTCGAGGATTTTTGGCTTTTCCAGGAAATCCAGGAAGAAATTCCGGGAATTTATTTGGCCCACAATCATCCTCGGAACTTGCTTAACATATTTGCTTTTGGAACTAGTCCTCGATATTGCTTCGTTGAGGAGGAGATACGACTTAAAGCTGCGGACACACATCGGACACACATCCATCCAGAACGAGTTAATAATCACAATTGTCCGTATTGAAATTGCGCTAAAAAAACTATAATCTCAGCTTGTAATGTGTAAATATCACCAAATAACTTAAGGACAAAGTTAACAAAACATAAACATACTTTCTCTTTTGTCTCTGTGTGCACAACTGCATTGCTATCAAAATTAAATTTGCCGGGAGATTCCTGGAACAATAGATATTAAACATTACTTTGACAATCTGACTAATTAGCAGCACAAAATAATCTAGCAATGTTTTCGTATTAATATATTCAGTTGTAAAATCTATGTTTAAAAAAAAAGGGTATAAATAAACTCAAGAATTTATTTGTTTAGGGATTCTTCTTCTTCTTCTTTGTTCTTAATTTTTAGTGTTGGAAGGGATCGAGCCTAATCTGCCAGAGGGTTTGAACTCGAGACTTTCGAATTTATCAACCATTAACTTTTGCAGACTCGACCACGCCTCCATCACAATTAAGGATACGTGTCAACTGGTTATGCGCCATTGAGGCCATTGACTCCGATTTCAGCCTGCTTTTCTTTTTGGATTTGCTTCCATAGCTTTTGTCCAACCAAGAACAAACTACAAGGCAGCAGTTGTTTGATTTTGGAGTTGTCTCTCCTAGAAGAGTGGCTGTCCCCAGCTATGAGCCTCATCTGCCCGAGGGTTCGAACTCGAGACTTTTCGGTTTAGCAAGCATGAGCTTAACAGACTCGACCATGCCGACCCCCTGTTTAGGGATAAATATATTTAACAACTATCTTAAGTTATGGGTGTTTAACAATAGCTGCACTTACCTCTATAAAAAGTTTCCCACTTCCATGGCCCAGCAGCTCATGTAATCCAACCTGAACTTCAAAGGACTGGATCTTGTATTTGGTGTATAATTCCTAGAACCAAGAATATATTTATCATATGATAAATGAATGATATATCATGTGTATCTTACAAGCTCAGTAGAAAAATAAAACATGAAAAATTTCTATTAATATTTTCTGCATTTCAGAAGAAATTTTAAATCCCTCAAACTTTTTCCAGAACTTAAACCTCCCCCCTAAAGCTACTTTTATTAAAAAAATATTTACAAAAATATAAATGGGTACAAGTATATACAGAATATTACAAAAGTAAATTTGATTTATAAAAAGACAAATGACAGGCATGTATTTTTCTAAATGAAAACACAAAAGAAGATTACTTGGACCAGACTTATGCTAAAAGTGTGTTCCTTAAATGAAAATAGTCCATCTAGCTGTACCACACATACCTTGTCCTCTTCCCTTAAGAATGTAATTTTAGATTCCTTGTAACCAGACCTCAAAACATTGCCTAGTGAAACATTTTTAAAACCTTCAGACTGTCTGATTTCATCATCTGAAATTGAGAGAGAACATCTTTAACATATTTTACACCTACCAAAATAAGGTACTATTTATATATTTGCTAGCTATTCTTATAATATTAACCCTGTCAATCCCATCCACTTTTTATTTTTTTCCCCCTATAAATTCATTTGACAAGGGAAATAACTCTGAATTCAGGGGAAAAAAATGTAAATATAAATATCTTCATAATAAACACCCTTTAAATTTAGGTAAAGGATGCTGCAGTTATGGGAATGATTAGATAGATAGATAGATATATCACTGAAACAAAAGCTCACAGTTTGGAATGTTGATGCCAGCTGGGATACCACTTCCGCCAAATGCCAAGACATCCAGCGAGGTGAAGTCTGGTGTCAGGAATTTGTCCTTCTCATACTCAGCTGGCCAGGGGAGGTGGGTCAAAAGCCTTTCAGCATTTTCAACCAACTTAGTGAACTTGGCTGACATTGCTTTGTTGACTACTGCTACAAAACCTAGAGAGAGAAAAGAGTACAAAATGAAGGGTTGTTTCAAAATCTGTTTTATATGTATAAATACAGATACTAGTATAAATAGTAAAAACAAGTGATAATATGAGCAAGTATTGTGTGGCTATTGTCTACTTGGTAGTCAAGTTAAACAACATTCTACAAATACTATCGACTGTTATATTCTTTTTTGGTTTTAAATTTTGCTATATATTAATAAACAGCAGGTAGGGTTTTAATACTTATTTAGTTATGAACAAAAATATAATTTACATAATGTTACATACAGATGAATGAACATTGTAAAAGAATTGGAACACCTTTTAAAGCATTGCACTCACCCTCAAATTCACCCCTCACACCATATGGATCCCTGTATGACTCAATAAAACCTATGTATCTGAAAAGAGAAATGTAAAATAAAAGTAACAAAGGAAATACTGGATTCTTGAGTGCAAGCCTATAAAAAAGAAATTATGAAGTATTTATTAATAAATAAACGAGTTCTAAAAAACAATAATAGTAAAACTGAATATAAAGAAACAAAGTAAAAATAACTTGCGTTTCAACAATTGGGCCTTTATTTTTAATCCAATGTCTGGAGCCATCTTTGTGAGCAGGCAGAGAACCGGTGGAAAAACTTTTTATGTACTCAGCAAGCATTTGTTTCTCCACTTCTTTAGCTGCATGTTTCTGTTTGGCATTAAAGAAAACATGGTGTTGGAATTCAATAAAGCTTTTGGAAGCCAATGAGAAGTGTTATTAGATCTAGTAGTTGTTTAATACAGTGAAAATATTTTTTCAGTTTATAAAATCACGAATGACTTAAACATAATACACAAGGTTCTTTGTCATTTGACAAGAGGGGTCGGCGTGGTCGAGTCCGTGAAGCTCATGGTTGCTAAACCGAAAAGTCCCGAGTTCAAACCCTCTGGCAGATGAGGCTCGTTAGCTGGGGACAGCCACTCTTCTAGGAGAGACAACTCCAAAATCAAACTACTGCTGCCTTGTAGTTTGTTCTTGGATAGACAAAGGCTATGGAAGCAAATCCAAAAAGAAAAGCAGGCTGAAATCGGAGTCAATGGACTCAATGGCGCATAACCAGTTGACACGTATCCTTAATTGTGATGGAGGCGTGGTCAAAGTCGGCAAAAGCTCATGGTTGATAAATTCGAAAAAGTCTGGAGTTCAAACCCTTTGGCAGACTCGATCCTTTCCACCACTAAAAATTAAGAACGAATAAGATTTGACAAGAAAAAAAGTTTATACTAAACTGTAATTTGTATCACAAACTTGAGAAAAAAAAACTTGAACAAAAGAATAGTAAAACAAACAAATGGTAAACCTGTGCATTTGCCAACTCTTCATTGAGAAGAGCCATTAAAGATGAATAGTCTCCCCTTGTAACCTTAAACTTGTATGATTTATCTTCCCCTTCTGGAGTAAAATCATACTCTCCTAAAACTGACCATTTTGGGTCTGGTGTTGCTTCAGCTGATAAAAAATTTAGTAATTTTACTATTTGTGTTATGAACAGTTTACTACATAAATTATTAACAGCTTAACAGAATAATTTAATATTAATAAACAACAATAAGAAAATAACTCAAACTTTCCAATATGTTAAAAGGTATTTAAACTTACCATCTTCAGAGCTTGAGGCTAGTCTAACCTCATACTCAACTTCTTTTGTAGATGGATTTATTATTTTAAATAACCTTGTATTGTATGGACTGATTTCCTAGAACACAAAACAAAATTAAGTTAAAGTTCTGATGATTAGAGATCACATGAAAAAAAATCTTAACATTTAGCTGAATTAAATACAGGGGAGTTGGGATTTTTTTAAAAACAAAACTGAACTACATACCTTTTTGTCAAGAAATTGTTGAGCAAGTTTGGCATCCTTTTCATCACAATTTCCTGAGAAATATGTGGTTGTTCCCTGTAGAGAAAAAGATAATCCAGATTTGGTTTTAGTAGTAGAATGGCCATTTGTATTTATATTCATGTCTAGTTAATTTCTGTTTATTTATATTGTTTGCAAAGTTATATAAGTTATGTTTAATGTTGGTTTTTGCTAAATTAGTGAGCTGTGTGTTTCATTTTCTCTCATTTCAAAACACTTATTTTTATTCAAAAGCACATTTGTTTTAATTTCCAAAAGATAAAAGCTGTTCACAAAAAGTATGTAGATTCTAGCCTTTTACCCAAGATAAAATTTGGTACCCATGTGGTACTATAAACATTTTTTTAAGGAGATAATTCTAATTTTCATCACACAAGATTTTACAAGGATATCCAGTTATGTTATTAAAAATTAGAAACCCTTAAGATCTACATTCCATTAGCAAGTGCATAAGAAACAACATAAAGACAAGAGAAGACCACCTACTTTCTCACCAAGGCCCAACTCCTTCTGCTTTCCTTCTAGTGAGTACATGCGATCCTTGACATCATCCCACAGACGCTGTACAGTAGCAGGATCTTGTTGGTAAGCTTTACTGGCTTTGATCAATGCCTCTAATTTTGTCTGTTAAAAAAAAAATCAATAGAAAATTAACTACATTTTTAAAAATTATCGCTAACTATAATGAAGGAAGATAGTTTATTTTGGTTAAGGCTTGACACATACCACTGTGCATTCGTGGTATGTGGCCTGACTGACTGAAAGGAGATGGTTCATATTACTGTTTTGAGTTTATATTTAACTCAATGTAACAAGCCCACAAGTTGGTTGAGGCAAGGCTGAGGGGTTTGTTCTGCCAGGGATACATAGGGTCGCCTTGAAATATCGTCCAAGGACTCATTTACAAGTGGCAGTTTAAAAATGCCTGATAGTATTTCTAAGTATTGATTCCCCTTAGCAAAAAGTTACCTTATCAACTTCTGGTACAATTTTAGTATCCCCAAAAGATTTGTAGTTCCCCATGTTGTTGTAAAAGGCTGCAGCATAGATGAAAAAAGCCTGAAAAAGAAAGCACTGTGTTTAACCAGGGTAGCAGAGAACAATAACTTGTTTTAAAATGGTCCATCAAGATATGATAAACACTAATATAGAATTATGGATCATAAATAGAACAAAATAAAGTGTCAGCTATTATATTTATTAATAATATGACATACAAAATCTGACCTCAACATCTTCATTAGTTAAACCACTAGATTGAGCAAGTGTTGAAATCTCTTCTGGCGCTTGGGCACGGAACAATTTTTGGAGTAACAAAAATATACCAGGTGATTCTGGTGATGTCTGTAATGTTAAAAAATCAATTTCAAAACATCCTAGATGTTACATCTACATAACTAACACACTAGTAAATGCCGCTTGTCTATAAGTTGTGTAACCATCAAAATAAGATTTGTGGTAAGCCTAGACTATTTCTCCCAAACCTCCATACAAAAAAAGTTTAAGGTTAAACAAATCTCAATAACCCTCTATATTTTTAATGAGTTTTGTTTTTAAAGTTTGCATAAAATATAAACAAATTACAATCTTATAGTGGTTATGTGTAACTAGGTATGTATAAGTGAGCTTTACCTGAAATAAAACAATAAGGCCACCTTTAAAGCTAGCTTGAGCTAGATAATGTGCATACAGTTTCTCTTCTGGTGTCAAGCCATCAAATGCTTCCTTACAGTCTAAGAGCACAACTTCAGTGCTCTTTGGAATAACGTACTGGGAATTGGAGTCTGTCATGGTGTAATGGAGATTATATGAAACTCCTGAAACAAAAGAAGTAAGATATTAGCTGATACAGTATAGGCATCAACAGGTCTAGAGCTTAACTCCTTACATCTCAAGTGTGATTTAAGTTCTAGAGTTCATCCAGCTCTATTGGGTTAGTAAATAAAGGTCTCTGTGCTTAAAACTGGCTATAGAATCATTTCATATGCAAAATCCTTTCAGATGAACTCCACTTCATCTGAATATTAGATTTCAAGGTATTTTACTTTTTAATAAAATTGGTACGGTTGTGGTTTTTAGACAAATGTGTAAAAATAATAGTACAATATGAATTAACATGACTTATGAAAAGCTCTATTATAAAAGTACTGCAAGAAACAATTTGATTATTTTTAAGTCCATTGTAGGACACTGATATGCATACCATAGCTTCACAAGCTTTTTAAATAATTTATTTTCCTATGCAATAGATAAAGAATACTTTCATTTGCATTTTTTTTGCCATAATTTTTTCTAAAAAACAAAATTTTCAATTCAAAGCAAAATAAGTATAAATTCCACATTTCACAGGGAAAAAAAGAACACTGCATTCACAGGGAAAAAAAAGAAGACTGTAACAGATATCTCCAAATTTACCAATGTCAGTTAACTCAAGCACAGTGTGTGAAGACTCAGAATGTTTTTGTGTAGCCATTACTGTGGGGTAAACTTTTCACACACCTTCATTTAAACATAAATAAAGGCTGCTGTGAAAACATATCACATAGGAAAAAAAATGTCTCTTCTGTGTCAAAAACCAACCAAGCTTGAAATAAAAACATGATCCACAGACTAAACTCACAAGATTAAAATGTCTTAAATATGAAGCAAACAAAAAATTTAGGTAGGGAATATAATGAAATATAGTTAAAGACTTGACAAATTCAATAAGATTAATAAGGAAATAAAATTGTATTTCTAAACTGAAACTGTTCACCAATGAAATAATGGAAAAAAAAACTAACCACATAGGTAAAAGAATCATCCACTAATACACTTTTGAAAAATAAAATAACAGTAGCTGTAACAAACCAGAATATATACAAGCACCTGGACAAATGCCAAAAAGCTTTTCATAGAAAAGAAAATGTTAAAAGAGAAAAAAACATTGCTGACATAAAACCAATTTTCTAGAAAGGTGTGCAACTAAATGCTTTTGTAATAGCCTAATACTTGTTACACAAGTGACAAATCTATAAAGTGATAGAAATCTAGTTGAAGAGTAAGTCACTTGAGGAAGCATAACATTCTAAACCATGCTATTTACATATCAAAGCATGAGCTTTATCTGAGAAAAAAAATAAAGTTATGCAACACTAAGCCTACAGCATGGGCTGTAGTATTTGTAAACACAGAAGGTGAACTAAATGTTTTAAACTAATCACAGAGCCTAGTGGGTGAAGGCACTGAACATTTTCATTCAACACAGTATTATATTCAGTGTAGCTAATGGTAACACTTCTAAGAAATATCTTTCAGTTTCAGTGATAAGAGTGATAGCCACGCATTAAAATATGGGCCTAAAACTGACTTGAACACAACAACGTGTATTTAGGAAATTATGTCCTACAACACCAATGTAACCATTGGTAACACTTCTAAGAAATATCTTTTCAGTTTCAGTGGTAAAACTACACATGTAAATATAAAGCTGACTTAATCAATAAAATCAACAGGATGTAATCAATATACAAAATACATTACCCCTTCAGTTTTTTTTTTTTAGCACAGCATGTAATTCTAAAAATATTAACATTACAATGGTATAACTGGGGAGATTGATCACCGTAATAGTGGCATTACTTTAGGAAAACATTAGCAAGGTTCTGAGTCAGTAAATCTTGCGCATAAAATTATTTTAAAGTATCAATAACTTTTATCAGACTCTCCCTACCTTCCCTCCCCTCCACACACATCAGCTGAATTGTTTACACATCTATTGACAACAATATGAGAATAAGAAGGTGAAGGACAGTTTATAAAGGTTTATCTGCTTAAGGTTTACAGTTCAAATACAATGGATCTGAATATCTGTGTTATTTTTTATAAGTGCAGGATTAAAATGTAAAGCTTGTATGAAGGATTTAACTTAATTCCTCTTTATCCACATAATGTAAAATGCTCATTATACAAAACAACCGATTACACACAAGTAACTATTATGTTAGCTTGCACAAAACATCAATGCAATTTAAATTCAAAGGAAAACCAAGTTAACAACGCTTAAATTATTTGAAGGAAAGCCATCATGCTTTCTCCTGCAGAAGGGGCTGTCTAAGTCTAACCCTTACCTTAACCTGGTTAGGCTTGTAGTCTATTTGTATTTTATTCCAATCCTATTTAGATTACATGACATGGTTCACTTTGTAGGCACATAACATGTTGACAATAATTCTTATTGTGTTTGAGGAAATTCCCTCCCATTTTGCAATCAAGATTAAAGAGGAGCAAAGTTTGTGCATTTTTACAAAAATGTTATTAAATCTCTCTTGAATATTAATATAAATATAGGACACTTATACTAATGGAGTACTAATCCTTTTATAGAATGTTTATGCATTCCATAAGCAGAAATAGTAACTTACTAGGGTATCCCCACTTCAAAACGACAGTCCATATTTCTCTGACCTTTGCATTTAAACAATGGGATAGTGTGATGGGCATGAGGCTAAGCAGACATTTATTTATAACTTACTAGGAGTCAGGTGTTCATCTGAGTGACTTACTTGGCTTAGCATAATTGGCCTTAAGAGTTAAGTTAATAAGTGCAGACATGCCTACCTCTGGCAACCAAAAGTAGGAACAGTCAAACAGAAAAAAGAGGAATTTGAAGCCAAAAAGAGGAACATAATTTTTTTAATCCACGGTTGCTTAACCAATAATAATCTTAAATTAACTATTATAACTATGGCTGTCCCTTTCGATCTCCCACACTGAAATTGTTTAGCAAATTTATCTTCTTTGAACATTAGTTTAAAAGCTTTAGAAAATTTATCTAATGAAGCAAGTGGCAAATTCATTTCAGTAACTAGATCAACTAGCATAACTTCAGCTTTTATAACATCAGTGATCGATTTTTTACTTTCTCGTATATACAAAGTATAGAGAAAGTATTGTAATCGTGCACAAAAATCACTTAAAATTTTAACAATTTTCACCGTATTACACCTCAGTCCTTCATCACATCCGAAGTATAGAGGACTTATTTTAATCGGGCAAAAATTATCAATCCAGATTTATCAAAATTAAGAGGTTTTATGCGTAATCCAGTCTGAAAAACTGGGCTTTGCAATTCTGTCCGTATGTCTGTGTGTCTGTCCGTGTGTAAACACGATAACTTGAGTACCGTTACAGCTAGGTTGATGAAATTTCATATATAAGTATTATATCAAAATCGTAGATCCGTATCAACTTTTGAGCGATTTCCGACAACCGGAAGTGGTACTTTTTCTACTTTGAATTTTTCAAAAGCCTATAACTTGAGTACTATTTCAGATAGATAAATGAAATTTCACATGTAAGTAAAAGATCTAATTCTCTACCTTCTGTTAAATTTTGAGTAATTTCCGTTGACCGGAAGTAGTAATTTACGCTACTTCCGATTTCTCAAAAAACTAATGTAAATTTTTAAAGTACTAATAATATTGCGCACTATTACGCACATTTGGTTTTGGTGCTAGCTTGGTGCGCATTTTTTTTTCTACTAGATTTTATTCTATTTTTAAAAGTTTAAGTAAACAAAAATCATGTCTATATTCAGAGTTGACATCCCACGTAGTGTTATATTAGAATATTCGAGAAAGTTTAGGGGAGATCACTCCCGGTTTATTTAGGCTTAGTCGAAGTAAAAAACAATTCAACTTTTTTTTATTCTTTGACTAGCTTAGCTAGCTCCACGTGGTTTGCACTTGCATTGTGCTTGGTAATGTCGTTTATTTTAAACTCACAATTACAAATCTCATAATGAGCATTTGTTTCACAATTCTTTCCTTTTTTGACAAAAGGAAATTCTTCCGAATATTCCGTTCTGAAGCACTGAACACGTTTTTTTTTGACGTTGAAGGGGATTCCCCGATCTCAGATACTGAACGTTTCGGCATTTTTCAACAAGGAAACGGAAGTAAACAGGGAACGCCGTTCACTTCCGTTTCCTAGTTTTCTGGGGGGAAATTCGCATTTTTGCTGATAATTTTCTTTTTCCTTTTTTTAAAATAACTTTTTTGATTATTTTCGAAAAGAATTCGGAACAAATCGAGTCCAAGTCGGAACGACGGAACAAATTACTTTTGAGGGTAAAAAAGCGGAACGGTTCCGCTTTTGGCGGGACGGTAGGCATGTCTGTAAGTGTTACAATTATCAAATTGTTTTTCTATTCTGCAGCATTAAGCAATAAACTCTTTTAAAAACATGGAATGCTATTAATAGAAAACAAGTTAGTTTAGGATAAAGGTTAACATCGTTTTCTAGCATTAGATCATTGAGTAAAGTGCATTTTTCATACCAGTGTAGGATAAAGCTGTGATTAACTCTTTTAAAAATAATGGTGTTAGGTTGCTTATGGTAAGCCATTAGGCTCAAATAATAGTATTCTTACTAATGCCATAACTTACACCATCTTTAACCCTAATCATGACCCTAACACCCTAAAAAGGTATTATAGATCTGCCATTACTCACACTATTTGCCATAGTGTAGATATATATATATATATATATATATATATATATATATATATATATATATATATATATATATATATATATATATATATATATATATATATATATATATATATATGACTAAATTAAGACAGAAAGTTATAAGGATGATTTAAAGTTAGTTTGTATTGACAATAGACAATAAGGTTTGAGAGTATATGCTGTTGTTTTATTTACCATAATAATGTTACGACCGTGGGGGCGTATATAGCAGGTGTAGGGTTGACGACAGACGTGACCCAGATTGAACAGGTCTAGATGGAGACAATCAACGAGGCACGTGTTAGAATTAGGTTACATTTACGTACGACGGCATCAATGGGGGTAGGTGTAGAAGACACGTATCTAGTTGGCCTGGGTGACCGTAATGGGGGTAGTATATTAGCAGGGTCTGATAATTTAATCAGGTACCCCAGACCTGTTGGCGACATTTAATTAGGTTAGGCTTGAGTGGGACGTGTTGGTGCATAATTAGCCCCGTACCTGGACATTCGTGAGTCCGTTATTTAAGGAGGGGGAGACGGACACTCAGAGGTAGACTCACGAGTCACTCACACACGGAGACGGACGGACTCGTCTCGGATAGCTAGGTCTAGAGGAGACAGACATGGGGCGTCTCTGTGAGCTAGTGGACAGCCAAGAGATGCCTGTACTGTAGTAGACCTAGGCTACTTAGACAGTTAGGGACAAGTAGGGTAGTCGTACTAAGAACTTTAGTTGTTGTAGTTAGTTGTGTATATTTCTGATTGTTGTACTTCGGTGGCGGGTTAACTTTAAGTGTTGTAATTTGTGGAAATAAATAGAGATTACTGAAGTGGCGTTTATTTTTATTTTTCTTCTTGTTTACGATTCCCTGACTAGTTCGAAAGGATTAGAGAAGGGAGTCGTAACAATAATAACAGCCATGATGTAGGAGACAAGACTAGAGAGACATAGTAGGAATCTTGACGTTTTTAGTGGAGTGTTATATTTAATGAGATTAAAGTTTTCTATATTGTTTTTATTCTTGAGCAAGTTACATTGTTTATAACGCATGGAAGTAACAAAGGAACCAACCTCTTCGCAAGGAAGAAAGAAGTCAATATAATATAGTTGTAGTAAAGTTCCCCTTCCAAACCTGATGACTTATGAGGCAAGTGAATTAGATTTCACCTGTTTCTGTGACCTCAGAATATGAAGAGATAGTGTGGTCAGCATTATGCACAGCTTATTTTTTTCCCTAACATGAGTTAGGTACCCAACAGAGCTGGGTGGACTCAATCACACTATCCTTAACTAATCCTGACCCTAACAGTAAACACCCTATAGTGATGTTATAGTTCTGTTAGCAACCTAATACTAATATGTTTTGGAAAACTACATTGCTGGACCCTCATGACAGTGTATTGCTAACACCACCCCCATCAGAAGGAAGAGCTAATTGTCAGATGACAACTAGAATAGAGTTTTAGAGCTATGTAAAGGAGCTTTAGGTTAGGTGACAATAGGGTTAAGAACTACTAGTAGTATGTCACAAGTTCACTTGCTAATGTTGATTTAGACAAAAGCAACAGATACAACTTTATTGTAGTTAGGTTTTTCTAGGGTGAATAAAAACATTTTTGCACCAAATCCTATTTTATTTTGATGCACAAAATCAAGTTATGGATGACAATGCCTAAGCCAGAAAAAAATTTGAAATTTCTTGATTAAATTATTAATTTCTTTACAAATGAAATTATAACTGAACAGACAGCTAAAATTTGAATTCAGAGTGGTTCTAATTACAATGCAGTAGTAAAAGAATATATGCATATATCTAAGAAATGTGAAATTGAAATTCTGAGTAATTCTCTATTTTTTATGAAAATATATCTTAAATCTTTGTACTGAGTAAAATTATCAATTTTTAGGCCTATTATTTATTACGAGCCGACCCGCGGTGTATCATACACCGCTATTTAGTTGTTGTTTTTTTCTACTTTTCAGTAATTCATAATTTGTGAATTCGACAGTACCAATGCTGACACTGAAAATATTTGCTTTAAAACACTAACCCCCCCCCCCCCCCCGTGAAAGCAGCCTCCTCTTAGTTACCTCCTCTAAGTTTAAAATAGTTTCAAACTGAATTATCTGCCCCTAATAGCCGTCACCAAACTAAACATTTAGCGTGATCTACAACTCACCTGACCATGTGAGGGGGGTGGGGGTGGGGGAGGTAGCGATAGAGAGGAAGAGAGGGGACTGCAAGGCGCGCACTTGCAGCTTGTTTTCTAAAGGCTCCCAGAAGAGAATTATATATATAGATTATTTAACTGTGCACATTTTAAAATTTATTTTAGCAAAAATTTAAAAATATTAATAAGTCATAAATCAATAAAATGTAAAAACAAGTTAATTAAAAAGTCTAGTGACAATTTTAGCGCAATTTCCTAATGTTATCTAAAAATAGCTCTGACGTATAATGCTGGTGTGCGCTCAAGCTAGGAGAACGATCGGTTTGTAGGTGTTTATGTAATTTTAAAATTTGTGACCGAACGAAAGGATATTTCTTCGGCAATATTGTTCTAAATTATGGCAGGAATCGATTGGTAAATGTTTCAAGTCGCTAAGTGGTCTGGTTGCCAAGATATGGGCCAAAAACTGCATTTTTTCGAGGTTTTTTGGCTTTTCCGTGAAATCCAGGAAGGAATTCCGGATTTTTTTTGGCCCACTATCATCCTCGGAACTTGCTTAACAAATTTGCTTTTGGAACTAGTCCTCGATATTGCTTCGTTGAGGAGGAGATACGACTTAAAGCTGCGAACACACATCCATCCATTCCCAGAAAAGACGAGTTAATAAACGCAATTCTCTAGAATGGAAATTGCGCTAAAAAAGTACAAAGAAAGTACACTGGCCTTAGCCCACCCCACTCAGGGAAAAATTATATGGGACACCTGACAAACTGGAAACCACAGTCCGGTTTGTCCACGAAGTTGGACTTGTTGTCTGAATCCTCCACCATATTCAAAAATTAAGAACGAAGAAGAAGAAGAAGGAGTACAAAGAACAAAGTCAACAATGCAAAACAGACCTAAATGAAAATGATAGCTTTAGTGAGGCACATTAAGTAAGTAATAATAAATAAGTAATAGGCCTAATCAAATATAAGATAAAAAACCCTAGTCCATTGTGCTTGTAGTTATCTTTAATTTGTGAGGATATTAACAATACATTATCTTGTGTTATTATTACTCAAAACATAGACTACATTTTATAGGTCAGCATTCACATATTTTTTTAACAATGAAACAAGTTATGGAGTTTAGGGCAAACAAAATAGTTCAGCTCCCATGGAAGGGGTTGGAATAAGTGATGAGGGGGTTGGAATAAGTGATGAGGGGGATGACGGGGGGGGGGGGGGGATAGGAAGAAGAGGGTTCAGAAAGTGTAACATCACACTTTACATTTAAAATGGAATTTCATTTATTGTAACTGAGTTTTTATGAATAGTGAGTAATGTTTAGCTTGGCAAAGATAAAGGTTACATCAAGAAGTGGATGTAATAAATGTTAGTAAGACTACTTTGCTTCATTGCAATTGTCAATACTAGTTGTTGGCCTACTTACTTTAACTTACTAAATTCATAAATTATGAATTATTTAAATTAGTTATTAGGCCTAGGCCTATCAGTATAAAAATAACTAGTCTAAAGTAATAGATCTAGGCGTAATTCAATTAATTATCTATCTTTAAACTTTAATGCGACATGGAATGCAGCTAGAAGTCAAGTTAAACATTAGACACTCAGTAATAGCCGGCGTTCAAGTTTACTGAGAGTAAAGTTTACTCAACACTGGTGTCACTAGGGTTCTGTGACAAAAAAAAGGGCAAGCACGGAAATCGCTTGTCGTGTGTTCTGGTTTACTTGTTCATTCGTTTACCAAACAGCAAAAATTGTGTTTTAATTAACATACAATTTTATCAAAAATAGTTTCAAAACGGGAGATTGCTAAAAGTTAGCCAAGAAACAGATTAAGACTCAATAACCTGAAATTAAAACTAATTTAGTAATTCTGGTCTTGATAGTCGTCTCCTTTTTTTTTAATAACTATTTTTAGTGCTACGAAGCAGTTTGCTAGTGGAAGGCGTCGTCGACAACTTCTTTCAGTGACTACGGCCTAATTCAGAATAATTGGAATAAAAATAAACTTGGAAATTGAGAAAATAAGTATGGAATAAAATCAATTGCTTATGGCGGCTTAGGTCATGGCGAAATAATTTATTTTACTAAAATAAAATATTAGGTTACATTTTTGTTCTGCTTTATAGGACACAAATTTCAAACATTTGAATATAATATAATCCAAAGGCTCGGTCTGTAGCAGACTATTTGGCATATTTCCATTCTTTGTTTTAAACTGTGCAAACTGTATTACTAAGGCAATCTGTTTATGACATTTGTTTATGTTGACGCTCAATTTTATGTAATTTTGCACTATGTGATTGTAATTTAATCAGCTGCCATGCGATATTAATAACTAGGCTATAGCATTAGATACAGTAAGAAGACTTTATAATTTAAGCAATCAAACCTATGAACTATAAGTTAAATATATAGGCCATATTGCTAATTTAAAAAATATTTATCAGTGAACTTGTCTGTCTTAGAGTCGGTAATCCCTTAGTTAGGCTTTTTGATGAGAATTACAGAATGATTTTTTTTATTAAAAATGTATCAATAATAGCTAGAACACTAGTAAACTAAGCTAATTTAGCATATTTTAACTTTCTGTGTAAAGTCATTATTACTGAAAAAAAATTCCAAAGTCAGGTCAGTCTGTGGCAACCTCCAATGAACTTGACAGAAGGAAAAAAAACTTGACCCGTGACCTTCATTAAAACAGAATTTGCTTTTGTTTTTTTTTTAATTTTCAGTATACATGTGCTTAATCTTACCCAATAAGTGATAAAAATTTGAAAATTAATTTTAATTACTGGTGTAAAGTGACATAAACAGCTTAATAAACACGTGTTTTCTTGAGGGGGTGTGGCCCGGGTGTGGCACATCCTGACATCGCATTGTTTGTAACTTTATATTTCTGTGTTTTATGACTATATTTGTTCACAATCAGCATGCTATGCTTTTAATTTTGATAAAGGGTAAGTATACCAAGTTACAAAACCTGAAATCTAACTAATAATTCATACTTTCAGTTTAAAAAATAATGAAAACGATCATCAATGAAGAAAGCGTAAACATTCTATTTTTAGGTGTGACATAAAAAAACAGTCATAAATCTAGCCAAATGATTGGATTCTTGCGCAGCACACATTTTCCCGCGCCTCGTTTTCACTAAGCAAGATTATAATAAAATGGCATTATTGGGGGGTGATCGTTTTCCCACGCACATATCTCATTAACACGCCAAATTATTACCAGTTAATGGTAATGTGTGTAAAATTAATACTTTAAAGTTTACATCTGACATAAGCTGGTTTGCATCTGGAAGCGATATGTAAGAGTTATTTGATATAAAAGACAAGAATTCATAGAGCTACTTTCACTAAGGCGCCGCTTGCGAGACAAACAAAGGAATTAGGCCAAAAGTAGATCCGACAATTCTTAAATAACAGACTTAAATAGAAACGGATAGTTCCGATTTCTTAAATTAACGATGGCTTCGTAATCATTAGTTTTATCGCTCTACCCATTAGTGAAAGCGAAACTGGTCGCCATTTTTGGTAAGCGCATGAGCCGTGAGATGGCTTCAAAACAACAAACCCAGAAGCTGCGAATTCGAACGGCCTACCTTAGTTTAGCGTCGGAAATTATCGGGTAATGTTTGTTGAGTTTCGGTAATTAGAGTTACGGTAAACCATGGTTTATTTGACCATTGAAATATAAATAAATTGAAAGTCGATTGTAGTAAATTAATGTTTTAATTTTTTAAGTTTAATCGACAAAAGGAAACAAGAATAAATATAATAGTAGATTTAAATTAGTAGATCTAAAAATAAAAACATATATATATATAAATAATGTATCAAATGTAATAATTTAATGTTTTTGGCTTGCAGCGGATTTGCGACCATTAATTAATTAAATCTAGATCAAGCTAGATATCTAGCTGCTAGGCCAAGTAAAAAAATCTAGATTACGAAAATAGTAAAAATGATTACAAAATGTAAAAATGATTACAAAAATAAATCTATTCAAATTTTAAACATTCTGTTTAAAAATAAAAGAAGACGCCAAATAAAGTATGGTTTACGGTACTTCCGGTGAATTCCGGAAGTGTGTCACAGACTTTGTTATTGTTTCACTGTTTTTTACTGCTATACGATTCCGGAATAATAACCGACGCTAAACTAAGGGATTACCTTAGAGTCTTAGTCCTTAGTGATACTGATACTGAGTTTTTTACTGAGTAGCATTAGAATTCATTAGATTTTAGATTAGTTAGACTTTTTGGTAAAACTCCATTTTAGAGTATTTTATTCCCCGCTTCACGTTCACCTCCAGTTGAGCGTATTTTATTATAAACACAACCGAAACACACAAAAACGTTAGGAAAACAATAGGTCTAGAGCTAGGATCTACTAATTTTTTATGAATGTGATTTTTAATTAGAAAAGATGGAAAAAAACATAAAAAAGCATTAGAACTGTTTCAATTAAATATCGTGTGATCGTCAGCGGGAGAAAAATCCTTACATGGTCGAGGGTTCACCGTGAGTTCACATTGTCTTTAATTATCAGCATACGTCATAGCTTGGGCAATAGCTGTTTGAAATTGTGTTGGCCTCAGTTTTGGGGTCATTGTAAGTTCATAAATGTTTATTTGTAGTATCATGCCTGGGAAATACTTGTAACGATACAAACTTAACCACCTTGCAATTGTGAGTTATGTTTACGTACTTCACCCATTGACATGAAAATCCTAACTGACACACGAACATAGCACATTCAATATTTTAAATTTGGATTTTTCTCAAGTTTTGACTAAAGTAAATTATCAAAATCTAAAACGAAGTCACTATCTTTGTTTATTCATTTTTATTCATTTGTTAAAACAAAAATACAATACAAATAAATAAATTGTGTTTTCCTAATGTTTTGGTGTGTTTCGGTTATTATAATAAAATACGCTCAACTGGAGGTAAACGAGAAGTGGAGAATAAAATACGCTAAAGTGGAGTTTTACCGACTTTTTATTAAGTTTTTATTTTACTAGACTTCACTTAGACTAAGTCATTAGTGATTAGTGTCAGTCACTTAGTTTCAAGTTTTAGGATAAATTAATTAAATAATTAAGTTACAATTAAGTACAATTTAGTTTTTATGCTGGGAGTGTCATTATGCTATGGCAGGCCGGCCTGTTGACCACTGGGAGCGTTATTATGGTCTTAACTCTTAATGAGTTAATAATGTTGTTGGCCTGTAGGCCTATGTCTAGTTATATTATATATTGTATAACACATGTATGTTGGCTACATGAACTCTTTTCATGAATACTTTTTTTTTTTAATTTTACTTTAGGTAAGTTGTATCGAAGTCATTTAGTGAAAATGATTTGAACGGAATGGCTCTCCCACCACCAGATCAAGTTTGTATCATGGATCAGGGGTTGGATGAAGAAGCTCCTTCCCCCCGCTGTCTACAGCAACATTGTCTCTCACCAACATCCTTAGCACTGCGATTGGAAAGTGATGATGGTATTATTTAGCACTAGCTTTTCTTTTTCCCACTTGAGTTTGAAAATAAAGCCATTGTAAAATTTGTTCGCAAAAAATAAGTTTTTATAATTTTAAAAACAGTTAATTAAATCAAGTAATTAAGTATTACAATATTTCAATCATTCTTGTGTGGAAGAGCCAACATTCCAGATAAAATGATTTATTTATAATGTGTTTAACAATGTTACATTTTAGTGCAACATTTTAAATTTGTTTATCCATTATGATATCCAAAAATAAAATGGTGTGTTTGATTTAGCCCCTCTTCCTCCTTTATTTAAGTAAATCATTCAAGATAAACCATTTCTTCAGAATGAAGCACCAACTGATTCCAATTTGTTATTTCACAGGTATAGACTGCTATGGAAATGAGCGTGAAATACTAACAGAGCAGGCCAGATTTTACAACAACAAGCTGCTCAGTGATGTTGTGCTGCAAGTAGAGAATGAAAAGTTTTTTGCTCATAAGCTGGTGCTGGTGAGAGCATCGCAGGTCTTTGAACGCATGTTTACAAGCAGACAATGGGACAGTCACAAAGAGAAGGTAATCTTTGAGCATATGTGTTGTAAAGTGTGTTTATCAGCAGAGAATGGGACAGTCACAAAGAGAAGGTAATGTTTGAGCATATGTGTTGTAAAGTTTTTTTACAAGCAGGCAATGGGACAGTCAAAGACAGAAGGTAATCTTTGAGCATATGTGTTGTAAAGTGTGTTTACCAGCAGGCAATGGGACAGTCACAAAGATAAGGTAATCTTTGAGCATATGTGTTGTAAAGTTTTTTACAAGCAGGCAATGGGACAGTCAAAGACAGAAGGTAATCTTTGAGCATATGTGTTGTAAAGTGTGTTTACCAGCAGGCAATGGGACAGTCACAAAGAGAAGGTAATCTTTAAGCATATGTGTTTTCTTAATGCCTGAATCTAGCCTGAAAAGTAGCTTTTAAAATCAATAACTGCAGGTAATTTTATTCATTATAATATCTTGTTTCTATAAACAGTAAGGAAAATGTACATACTTTCTAGATATTCAAAATGTCAGAACTAACTATGAAACATTCTTAATTTAATCTACATCGTTTAGGTTATGACTTTTTCAACTTATTGTGTCCTTCATTGTACAGCATTGAATGTAAACATTGAAAATAAATTATACAGTTGGGTGACTTAAGATGTGATTTATTTTAAACAGGAAATCAAGTTAGTTGAAGAAAGTGTTTGTGTGGGCGTGTTTCCAAGGTTTCTGAAGTTCCTCTATACCTGCCACATTAAGCTCAACATTGATAACACTCTGCCTGTTCTAATCCTCTCTGACAAGTACAATGTAACAGATCTACGAAATGTAAATATTCACTAATTGCCTATTAACTAAATGTAATGAGATCATTGTTATTTTTTTAAAAAGTTTTTAATTACTTTTTTACATATTCTGGAAAAACAGTTATTTTAAAATAAAACTTTTTCTCATGTTTGTATACAAAATATAGAATTTATTAACATTACATCAATGCCTTTCATGATAACTAGTAAAATACAGTTATCAAAATAATAGAATTCTAATAGGCCTGTAATTCAAAATAATAAGATTCTAATATAATTCAAAATAATAGAATTCTAATATAATTCAAAATAATAGAATTCTAATATAATTCAAAATAATAAAATTCTAATATAATTCAAAATAATAAAATTCTAATATAATTCAAAATAATAAAATTCTAATATATTTTTTAACTTGTATATATATATTTCAGGTGTGCCTAGACTTTGCCTGCTACTACATTATTCCTAAAGTGCAGCTGAAAGATGTCTTTCATGTCTGGTTTCAGTATGCCACCAAATGCTACCATCACAGGCTTACCAATTCTTGTGTTCAGGTGAAAAAGGTTTTTACTGGGTCTAAAATATGTATTGCTTGGTAACAAGACTCCTGGCATGGTGTGAAGAATTTGAAGACAATTAAATAAATGTTTGCATGGTATTTTTTGATAAGTTGATTGTAAAAAAAAAGTGAAGTATTTTTCAATAAACTGACTTAAAAGATTTGGATTATGCAGGCTTTGGCCATGAAAATGGATGAAATAATCAACTCAGCTGAATGGGAGGCTGAATGGCTGAGTCTGGATAAGGAACAACTTATGGAGATTATGAATTCATCCTGTCTGGTTGTGAAAGATGAATATGATCTTTGGTTGGCTGTTGTGAAATGGCTTACGGTAAGGTTGTTTTTAAATTATGCATTTATAACTTGACCTATCTCCAAGAGAGCTTCTTAAAACAGAACAAAATTAAGTGAGCGATACCCAATTAGTATTTAACTAAAGATTTCAATTTATTTATAAAACATGAAAACAAACTAAATATTAATTACAATTAAACTAAAATAAAATATTAAGAACGAAGCAAAAGAAGGAACACATCTACTTACAATTCTTTAAATGCTAAAAAGTTCACCGATTGAACTACAGAATGCACTAGCCTTCACCTCTATCTTTGTCTAATAATTATTTATAGTTCTGTATAAGAATTTATCAGAATATGAAAATCATTATTCCTTTGTGGCCCCTGGGGAGCAAAGGGCTGCAACCACACATCTCCATCAGACTCGGTTTTGAAATATTCGAATATGAAAATAAACATCCCTAATTAGTTCTAGATTAGCTCGTTTTGGAGTGTAATTACCCCTCATTCCTACACTGGCAATCACTACAAACTGTTTATATTAATTTTTTCAAGAAAACATGCTGGAAAGCTTTATAAAATATTATTTCAGGCCTTCAGAGATTCTAAACAACTCAATAACAAACAGTTTGAAACACTCTTATCTGAACTGATGGAGACTGTTAGGTTTCCAATGATGACCCCTGACCAGCTTAGTCAGGTAAAAAAAGTATTTTGTTATAAAATATTAGTTAGCTAAAGAAACAGTCGGTGTTATTGTTAAGACTTTAAACCCCTATCTGATGTTAGTAACGTATTTAACATGGGAAACATCAATAACATACATATTTCTAATTTCCATTTATAAAATTTTGCTTTCAAGCAACATGTAACTTTGTTAATTATTACTTTAACTAAAATATAAGAACTAGAGAAAAGTAAAGTTTGTATTCACAATCACAGCCTACTTAAAAAAAAATAGAGATCTGTATATATTTAGTCAATTAAAATAAATGTATTAAAGTTCTATGTAAGCAAGTGTGATATATATATACTGGTTATCTTAGTGCTTGGGATTAGTTTTTGATTAATGTTTGTGGGTTTTTTTCTCACTGATTCAAAGTAGTTTTTTTTAGGAAAAGTAAGGCAGGTACTTCCTCATTGCCCAGAATATTTTTTTGAAAAATTTGCAATCAAATCTGTATATATTAATGTTTCACATTACTAGACTTAGTTTTTCTAAAATAAATTTTTTTCTATAAGCATAATCTCACTCGGATATTCCCTAATTGCATTGAGCAATAAGGTTAAACTTCCTCTTCTGCATAAAGATAAATTTTGTTTACATTATCCAGTTGATCTGTACAAGAACAATTTTCACCGATGTAAATGTTCAATGTCTAGACTGTTCTGTGTGCTATAGTCCCCTATCATTCTTTCAGCTCATTTCAACAGCAGTTTGAGTAAGTCCCCATCCATTTTTTTTTTATTGTCTGTATTACAGTTAGAATCACTCACCCTTGTGGAACAACATAAGGATCTGTTCCAGCAACCGCTTCTCCTGGCCTACAAATACCACGCCCTTCCATTATCCACTCGGGCTCGCACAAAAGAGTTCACCACCAGGTCTTTCCTCTTGAGAAACTACTCCAACCTCCGCTGGGACAAACGCATTGTGATCCCACGTCTCTCCGCCATTCCGAAAGGAACAGAGGTCGGCGTGCGATTTTCCACCAGGGCGTCGTCTTTCCCAGCGCAGACTTGGGAATGGGAGTTGAAAATCCACCCCAAGGGTTTGTCCTCCAACCCAGAGGATCTGCGTATATTACTGTACTCCAACGTCATCTTGGAGCAGCCCCGGGCCGTGGAGTATTACCTGGCGCTTGTCAATAGTCAGCAGCTCCTGCACGCTGTGTGCGGCAAGAAGAACTTCTCCAAGGCTCGGTTCTTCTCTGACACGGAGATGGAGAAGAAGGTCACGGTCAGCGAGTTGTCGCAGCAGCAGTCTCCGTTTGTTGTGGAGGACTCGCTGCTGCTGCAGATTTGTTTGAGACCTGCTGACTAGGTTTTAAATTTGAGACTTGCTGACTAGGTTTGAATTTGAGACCTGCTGACTAGGTTTTAAATTTGAGACCTATTGACTAGGTTTTAAATTTGAGACTTGCTGATTAGGTTTTAAATTTGAGACCTACTGACTAGGTTTTAAATTTGAGACTTGCTGACTAGGTTTGAATTTGAGACCTGCTGACTAGGTTTTAAATTTGAGACCTGCTGACTAGGTTTTAAATTTGAGACCTGCTGACTAGGTTTTATATTTGTTTGAGACCTGCTGACTAGGTTTTATATTTGTTTGAGACCTGCTGACTAGGTTTTATATTTTAAACCTGCTGGCTAAGTTTTAAATTTGAGACCTGCTGACTAGGTTTTAAATTTGAGACCTGCTGACTAGGTTTTAAATTTGAGACCTGCTGACTAGGTTTTAAATTTGAGACCTGCTGACTAGATTTTAAATTTGAGACCTGCTGACTAGGTTTTAAATTTGAGACCTGCTGACTAGGTTTTAAATTTGAGACCTGCTGACTAGGTTTTAAATTTGAGACCTGCTGACTAGGTTTTAAATTTGTGACCTGCTGGCTAGGTTTTAAATTTATTTGAGACCTGCTGATAAGGGTTTTAAATTTGAAACCTGCTGACTTTAGGTTTTAAATTTTCATTGATACAAAACCTAGCAATCTGGAAAATGTGCCAACTATGTCAGAGTAAAACTCATTATGATATATTTTTAAACTTTTCAAATAATTTAAGGTCAAATGTAATATTTACAAACTGGGTAAATCTTGTGAATCAAAAGTTTAAAATGTTATTTATAAACCTGTATTTCTCATTTCATTGCACTTTGAAATGCTGCTTATTTTCTGCTTATATGGTTCTCCAAATTATTTGAAAATGCCAATAGTGTATTTCTTTTTATCGTTTTAATATGGAATTTTATTCAGCACATTTTTTACACACCAAAGAACCAGAAAATATTTTTTTTGTTAATTTACTAAACACACTCTGTTTTGATGTTTTATTTTTTAGAACTTAAATTTACTTTGTTTCATGGTTTTACTAATAAATGTATTTATATATATATATATAATTCTCTTCATGGACAAGCTGACTATCTACCCCTTCTCCCATCCCTTCCTTCGCTCTCCAGGCATGTGCACAGACCATTTCGCTACCACCCCCACCAGTCTGGTGAGCTGTGGTTCACCCTGAATGTTAACAATCGTACAGCAGGGTCGAATTAGTGACGGCTTTTTGGGGCAGATAATTTAGCTTTTAAACTATTTGAAACTAAGGGGAGGTAAGAAGTTCTGCTTTGTCTTTTCATTGTCATCTGTAAACTGTTTTTATGGACAACTACTTTCACGGGAGGGGGCGCTAGTGTCAAATTCACAAATTATGAATTACTGAAAAGTAGAAATAGCGGCATATGCTACCCCTCGTGTGTATTAATTGTACTGTTAAAATAATATTAGAGAAAACAATACTTTTTTATACAAAAAGTTGCTTATTATTGTGCTTGTAAAAATGGATGATGTGATGTATTTCTCCAAAGGTTACAGGACATTACCCCCTTGGATATTCCCCCCCCCTCCCCGTATTTACCCCCCCCCAGCAATTACCCCCTGTCAATTCACTCCCCCCCCCCCCTGTCAATTCCCCCCCCCCCCCCCCCCTCTCAAGTTAAAATCCTAACTCTAACTAGAATTTTATACCTATATACTACTTTAATCCAAACCTTAAGAAAAAGACCAAAACCTAAGCATCCACCTTAGCCTAAAACTTCACACAAAACCAAAACCAAAGCTAGACACAACCCTAACACTAGCTCTAACCCTAACCCTAGCCCTAACCCTAATCTTAACCCTAACCCTAATCCTAGCCCTAACCCTAATCTTAACCCTAACCCTAATCCTAGCCCTAAAACCTAACCCTAACCCTAGCCCTAGCCCTAGTCCTAACCCTAGCCCTAAAACCTAACCCTAGCCCTAGTCCTAACCCTAAACCTAAACCTAGCCCTAATCCTAACACTAAACCTAACCCTAAACCTAGCCCTAACCCTAACTCTAACCCTGTCCGGGGGGAGGGGTAATGTCCTACTGGGCGGGGGGGGGGGGGGGGGTAATAGAAAGGGGGTAATTGACAGGGGGGAAATGCCCTGTTCCCTTCTCCAAAAAAATGTTTCTATTCCATTAAATATTTTTTTCAAAATTCCACATTATTTAATGTATATTTCTTTTAATTAAGTATAATTATTATATAGTAGGCATCTAAAAGTTATTCTAAATCATTCCATCCATTTCATTTTTAAGAACTTGGATTTTTAGTCATTTAAAAATCTTTTCATGACAGAACTGAGACTATCTTGCTCTGTAATTTGTTTGATGCCTCTTTGCATCTAGCCATGAGATGCTTAGTCTCTAATTCACCTGCTTTTCTTAAATATAGCTAGCAACATTTAATGTCATGCTTATTTTTTTTGTACTTCACAACTGGTCTAACATTTTTAAGATACACACCTAAACTCACTAGTATGTAATTTGTAATTATTACGCATAATAATTTACACCTTTGTATTAAATATTTTATTGTTGGTGTCTAATGATCTATGTATCTCAAACAGCAATTTAGCTGTTGGGGGTGCTAGTTATTTTTTCATTAGGTTTACTGTTTAAAATATTTTTAAGTCTTACCAAGAAGAATTTGTATGTACCCCTTGCTGTGTACTAAGCTGTGCGATCTAAGCTGATTAACATGTAAGAGCTATGTAATCAAAACTGAATTCTTCCAACTTTTAAAATATCATCATGGTCACTACACAATCTTTTAAGTTATTTTTTTTACACTGAGTTTTCATCAAAGAAAACAGCATCAAATATGTGTTATTTCCACAAAGTAATTTAAATTTAAGATGTTTTTATTTCATTTCAAGTTTAAGAATTTGTGACTGGTAATTAAGGTTACAATACAAATGATAGAAATTACAAGTTATCTTCAAATCGCAGCTGCTCTTAAAATTATGTTAGCTAAATTAATTTTTTTTTTTAATTTTTGTGTTCTAGAGAATTGGACTATTGATGTATAAAATTTGAACTGATTTTCTTTTTTCCCCCATTATCTTCACCAACCAACTCATCATAAAGATTTAATATTTTAATTATAAGGCCTTCAAATGAGTTCCCTGTGACATCTCATTTGTACCAGATGCTATTGTGTTCATAGAAACTTTTATACCCAGCTTTTTAAAGTCTTCCTTTGCCACCTGGCTGTTCTAAACGAGCTTTTGTCAATATTTACAACACAGGAGCTGAATCTTCACCTTTGTTTACAGAAACACTTTACCTCTCTGGAAGATGATGCATTGAAATTTATGTTCAGCTTTGTTTGTTACCCTTTGTATGTCCTACTTCAAGATCCAATGGTTCATTTTTTTTTCAAAATCATCTCAGCTAAGGGTCACTGTTATTGATTTAACTACAAAATCTACATTCTACAAAATGAAGGCTTATATTATTAGTGATAAGAGAAAAAGTTTTTAAACTTATTTTTCAAAATTTTATTTTTAAAAAAATTCATTTCTTCTAAAGGAAGTTTGTGTTACACATCGTTTATTGTCTTTTGTGGTAAGTAAAAATATTTTAGATATCACATTTTGTCTCTATTTTTTTGTAAAATAAATGTTTTCAATTCTCAATTTAAATTTTTTTTTTAAAGCTTCGAGAACACATTATTGCTGTGTTTTTACTAAACAAATCATGATTTTTGCAATGTAAATTTCAATTTATATGAGCTTTTTCCGTGCACACTTTTTATGCTGATTAATGATGTGTCGCTAGCCTGTTGTTTGGTTTACAGACACATGTGAGGCTGTTATCTCAGGATTTGAACAACTTTTTTTAGACACATTTCTTATGTGCAGATACATGTGTTAGTTGCGATCTAGTCATTCCTTACTGGGCGATTTGATGTAGTTTTCATTTTGCACTGAGTATTTTGGATTTTCCAAACACAACTTGTATGAAAAGTTTTTATTTTTATTGGTGTCTTTCATTGGTCATGTAGTGGGTTTTTTTGTAATTTATTTTCACAACCGGCCATTATAATTTTCTTGTAAGATTCTTTTGTCTTTCTTTTTTGCCGATTTTTACTGGTATGATATTTTTGCATGATTGACTTAAAACTGAAAACAAAAATATTTTTTATGCTCTTTTATTTTTTAAATTATACATAAGTGATACATTGTAACCATTGATTTATTTAATATATACAAATGGCAAGTTTTGATGAACACATGCTTATTTCACAACTAATAGTTTAACCAAACTTATTTTTGGAATATTTTATGTACTTAGGCTACGAAAAATATTATTAGTTCTTAATGTTAAAAATTTATTTATAATTAGAAAATGTATCTTTAAATAAATTCAAGTTAAGTAAAATTTAAAACCTAAATTCTTTTACTTATTTGTTCTTTGCTTTTCCCCTTTTTTGCACTTTAATTACTTAAATGCTAAAGACTTTATGTAGAGAATAGTTGTTAAATATCCCAGTGTAGCACAGTATCTTATATTTTTTCTATCATTTTTTTAAATCTTAGAACTTTTGGAACTTTTAAATTTTGTTTTTTAAAAAACTATTGTTTTAAAATTGTATTTACCGAAAGATTTATTTTTGATCCAAAGTTGCACTAAAATATAGTTCAGATTAAAAAATAATTTAAAGTAACCATCATTCCTGTCTCAAAATAAATTTTCTTTTTTTAAATCTTTTGTAAAACAAATCTAAATAAACTTATTTGGCACTATTGTAAATTGCTTTGTATTATTATATTTGTTGTTCATAAGTTTTCTGAATACTTTATTCTGACTGAGCCTTTTCTAAAACTTTTTTTTTTACCCTTTTTTTACCCTATTATAGATGGAAACATTTTAAAAAAGGATGTCTTGGTTGATTAAAATTTTAAAAATGCATAATTTTCCTGCTTAGTTAAAAAGAATTCAGTCTTAAAATAAAAGGGAGATAACTTTTAGAAATGAAAGATATGGATATCTAGCTCAATTATTTTTCTAGAAAGTATTTTATAACTTTTAAAAATCTTTTTTAAGAAAAAAAAATCTTTTTGTAAAGTTCTGAATTTAAAATGGATCTTGCTTTAATACCACAATTTTGAAAGTGAAAGTAGTACATAAAGTGGTAGTGCAAAGGTCGCCTAAATCTTTCATTAGGTGAAAGATCAATTTCTTTTCATTAAGAGAAGGTGGGGTTCGCCCCAAAAAAAAAAGAACTTCGCTGCCCCACTGGGTACGAAAGGCGGAATAACTCGTATAGATAACGTTGTTTCCTTTGTGTTTGTTGAATCAACAAATGGGCGATTCTTTAGCGCGTTTCCTTTTTACTGCTTATCGCCCTTTACTTGACACTATAGAACATATTGAACCAAGTTAACCCAGCCGATAAAAAGGGTTGTGTAATCTAGCTGTATTAATCATTGCAAAGATTTGGGGATCACTTTACAGCTCGTTATTAAATGATTATTTAAAATAGTTCATCGACATACTAAGAAAAGTTAGAGGGTGGGGGGGGGGGGGAAAGTTTGAGGGGAGGGTGGGGTGAAGATAAAAACTCAAAACTTGTGTCTTTTTACCAAACTCGGAGCAATTAAAACGTATCTTTCAGTTCAATGTATGATTAATATTTCTGTACTCCTGTAATTAGAATTTTTTTAGCGTCAAAGTAAGCAACGAATAAGGCACTTTGATATAACGGAGTATCATCTATAAGACACCTAGCCCAAAACATAACCATATAGTTCTTCTTTACTAGCAGAACAGCTTTATTTGTCTCCTTCAAGTTTTGCGTGCATTTTGAAAAATGTAAGTCTCCTAGCCTAAAGATATTAGGAATAACAAAATCGATCCAACTCAAGGCTTTATTTAGCCTTACTATCTTAATTAGCAGGCCTTACTATCGTTATGAATAGACCTTCTTAAACGTAAGGCCTACGTCATTTCCACGCATGCCGTTTTCACTTTTAAATAATTTAATCGACGTATGATCTCTTAGGCCAGATACATTATCGCTGCCAATAAAACATTCTTCCCCCAACTGATAAAGTTATCGATCTTAACCCTTTCACGGCTCTCGTTTTTCTTGCCCTCGCTCTGCGCCTCGGTCCATTATGAAGTTTTCTATGAACCTTCCCCGAGCCTTTCGATACACCCGCTTAAAGTATGTTTGTGTTTCTGGGTGTGTTGCCTTGTTGTTATGGCTGTGGACCCGCTGGCTCGTCAGCAGATAAAAAAGTTGCATTTGAAAAAAGGGTGGGATTATCAAATCATTAATTGAATGCTCTTTTTTATGGAAGAGGTGGGGAGGGGTTAAATATGCTCTTTGACGTTTTTTAGGCATACATTTTAATTTCATTATAATATAGGGAGTACACCAATCGTGACATAATTATATATATATATATATATATATATATATATATATATATATATATATATACATTGATAGAGATATGAGAGGGTGATGGATACTTTTATTACTAAAAAGTTATGTTTAAAAGAAACAGTAGGTTTTTAAAATAAATTTAAACAAGATGGTCCCACTTTCTCGCAAGGTCCAAAGCTGACAAAAGACTAACGTAGGTTTATACATACAAGTATTATGTCCCATAAAGTTACCTAATTCCTAATCACGACCCTAACACAAAGAAAAGGTCACTTGTTTCAGGTTTAGCAAGTTAGAACTAGGTTATCTATTGTTTCGAGATCGTATGGTCATAGATCAGGTGAAGTAGAGCTGTACGGTTTCTGCAACCATTGTATGATCAGTATAGTTTCCAATCATTTACTTAACAGAGATAAGTGGATATGTAAACAAAACGAGATTTTTAAAAAATGTAATGGTAATTTTATTTATTAATATACCAGTCCTTGTAAGTGTATTTCCTACTTATGACTTGCTTCCCTTCCAACAAGACAATCCAGGTAACCCAATAGCTAAATAACAAATTTTAAACTAATTCCTGATCCCTCCCTTTATATCTAGAGATCTACTACTAGTCAATACAAATAGGGCCAAATCTCGCTTTCATGTCATAATACAGCACTTTAGAAAAAAATTTCGCGTTCCAATACCAGTGATCAACGAGCAGACGACGAGGGGCGCTTCGACCGCGAGTTGCCTTTCTTAGTTTTTTTTTCTCTTGCGCGTAGAGATCAACAAAATGGTGTGTTTACATCAAAAACTTTGAAACCACGGAGTATTTAAAAGAAGTTTACGATACAAGTTATTTCCACTGGAAATATTTATGTGAGTTGTTGCTAACTGATTAAATGGCTAACTTAAAAATTCTTTAAAAAGTGTAATTTAAACTTCATATTGTAAAGATTCCGAATGTATTGAAATTAAAAGTGCATGTTGCTAGGGACGCCAATGTGCTTACTTTATAGCTTTTACTTTTTACTAAGCCATCCAGTTTATTACAGTAATATAACAACTTTATTTGATACTAAAGATGTGTTTTACGATACAAGTTTTATAGTTTGACGGCGTACATCCAGTTTTTAATAGTTAGTTTCGGCTTGGCTTTATAAGTATCATTGTAAGTAATTAGGGCCCACGCCTACTATTATAATTTGAAGATAAAGTAACATACTTTTTACTATTTGATTATTTATCTATATATATAATATGAATTCAGAAACTATTTAATTAAAAACAAATGTTATGAATAAATAAAAATTGGACAATGGGCTATAAAAGATCTATGGTTGCAGATTAACTTAGTGTTTAACAGTTTATGTGGCATTAATTTCGTTTTAAAATTATGTCATTCAAATGCGTGCTTAATGACCTGTGAATACATTTACTAAACCCAATATATCAAATCGTGGTGTGTATGTGAGTCTGTATTGTAATATGTTTTGCAGCCTTTACTCTATGCAGCCAATTTTTACCGCTTGTATGTTCCTGGTATCAATTTAGACGCGCTTAGCAACGGCGATGATTTATGGCGCGGTAAAGTGCAAGGGTTAGTTCCCTTTGAGGAAAAAAAAAGGGTTTCGCTTTTCAAGGCGCGCAGTGAAATTGTTCTATTGGAACCTACCTATAAGTATTAAAGCTGCGTATATTTGATGTGTTCGCGTAGCTATATATATTTGACGCGTTAGCGTGGCTGTATTTATTTGACATGTTTAGCGTTATTTTAATGTAAAAGTATTTTTTAATGACTACAAGATATCGTTGTAATCTTCATTGTGGGCTGAATGGGAGATAATTGCAAAGTAGGGGAAATAACAAAAAGTGTAATTCTTAAATTGGAGGAGTTGAATATTGTTTAAAAACAGCAAAAAAAAATAATTAAAATATTACGTAAAAATTACGTAAAAATTATAAAATGCACCAAGCCATCTGCACCCTTTGAAACATATTATGCATTCCAATTTCGTCTTTAAAACGATTTTGTATGACATTACAATTACTCAGTATCAGATTAGATAAACGGTGACCTGAGAAACATAAAGAGTTGGTGGACCTAAACTATCGGTACTCTATTTGTATTTAAAATATACACTACTATATATATATATACATACATATATATATATATATATATATATATATATATATATATATATATATATATATATATATATATATATATATATATATATATATATATATATATATATATATATATATATATATATAATTGGTAAAAATGAGAACACTCAACTTTCAATGAAAAGTTGTAGGTAGCTACGTCGTGCGGTTTTAGGCATAAAGTGGCAAATCAAGAACTTAGCAAAAAAAGTTTAATTTAAAAGGAAATTACAATTTTTATCAGCCATGTCCACATACATGTAACCCTTAAAAAGAACAACAAAACGTGGACATACCTGCCCTTGTCTTGGTAGTCTACCTGTATTCTAGGATTTTTTTAACACAAAGAGCAATCAGTTTTTTGTGACACCAGTGTTTTAAAGTCTGGATAACGTAAGCATCATATAGAGTCTAGGTAAGTGCTGAAGCATTGTTTAATCTGTGTCTGATGGGATCAAGAAGTGGGCTTGTTGTGGTCCATGACAAAACACCGTATCTGCTCAACAAAATACCGTAATTGCATAAACATCAATACCCTAAGTTCATAACATCTAAACACAAATTTACACGTACAAATAATCACCTGTTTCGTTTACACAACAAAATCCCACACAAATTCATGTGCTGTTTTTTTAAAACTTCAACGTATGCAATATGTCTTAAACCTACTTCAAGATCTTTTATGGCTTTGTTGTTTTTTTTTGTTTTTTTATTTGACGGTTTGATTCAAGCATAACCAAAATCATGTTGTATTAATTTCTTGACAGAAGACCTGATGTTTTTCGTAAAAATATTAACACTAAAGATGACATAATACTATGTCTTTTATATATAGTTTAATTCATCCCTTATTGGATCAAGTATAATACGTTCTTAGATCTAATAACAATAGCATCTACTACAATATATTACTAATAACAAAAGCATCAAGTTTAATACATTACTAAAAACAAAAGCCCCCCCCCCCCCCCCCTCACCTGGATTCGATTATTATACAAAGTTATATAACATTTCGGTAAAACCCATCCTGTCATTTTGTATAATACCTCTAGCCCCCCCCCCCCTTCCCCGGGAACGAAATGGAATTTATATAGAAAACATATACTTTTACTAGTGTCCGGCACCCCCCCCCCCCTTCCCGGAAAATGTCCTCTCCCCTGAAAATATCAAGTGCCCCCACCCCCGGAGAAAAAAGTCTGGAAGAAACACTGCTAGGATACCCTCCTCCCCCACACCCACATACGCTGGTACTACAAAAACTCAAATTTTTATTTCTTTGATTTATATAACATCGCCCTATACTACCACAAACTCAACTATAATACAACACAACAACCTGAAAATATGTTATATTAGCTACATAGGGCGTAACCTATAATATAAAACTCTTATATATTTCGAAAGAAACATTTCAGATCTCCATAGAGAACAAAAAAATAAACAATAATTTACAACAGCGAAGAAAAAAAAACTAGATCGTAGACACAAACAAAAAAACTAGATCGTAGACTGGTGTGGCAGAGTTTGAGAACCTCTCAGCGAGTGTAACAATATATTATAACGCTGAGCCTATGAATAATTTACAACATCCAGAGCTTTTCTGTTGAGCTACGTCTTATCTCTAACACTCCTTACATATAAACAATGGGCTCTCGAAAGCTTATCAACTGCACAGGACCGAACTATTTATTTAACACGTTAAAAAACATCATGTGAGAATCGATACGATTGGGCTAGTCAAGAATATCCTCAGAACCAAAACGGTTGCGTTTGTGATTGTTTGTAGGTATGTGCGACAGGGTTATGCGGTACATGAAATTGTAAAATTGTACCGAGCGAGTAAAAGCACATGGTAGCCGTAAAGAAAAAACGAGCACTTCTCTCACTTGTAAATATAGGTTACTTTTCAGTGACGGAGAGACTTCTTGTAGCCGCGTCTGTCTGCGTATCTATGTGTGTGTGTGTGTCTGTCCGTCGTCCGTCTGTCTGTCCGTCTGTCCGTCCGTCCGTCCGTCCGTCCGTCTGTCTGTCTGTCTGTCCGTCCGTCGGTCGGTCGGTCGGTCGGTCGGTCTGTCTGTCTGTCTGTCTGTTTGTCTGTCCGTCCGTCTGTCTGTCTGTCCGTCCGTCTGTCCGTTTGCCCGTCCGTCGGTCGGTAGGTTGGTCTGTCTGTCTGCTTTTCTGTCTGTCTATCTGTCTGTCTGTCTTTCTGTCTCTCTGTCTCTCTGTCTGTCTGTCTGTCTCTCTGTCTGTCTGTCTGTCTCTCGCACACACAGACACAACTAAAATACTCGTCAAATCTAAACACAAATTGAAGCTTATGGGGCACTTTTCTGCTCAAAGGGTAGTCTCCACCGTCTTAAAATAGACAAGGTCGGTGCTTACAAAACCGGCGATATACCGGCCTTTTACTAACCAATGAAGCGTTGCCGTGTTTAAGATAGGGCCAACACGTTAATGTTTTCCAGTACCCCCCCCCTTTTACCCCTTAAAAAATGTATACAGTTTCAGAAGGCAATGAAATACTTTTGTGCTGATTGTAAGAGCGAGAGCCGATTTAAAAAAATCGCGACCACTTTCAGCTTGAACCGTTTATAGTTTGTTTTGACAACGGCTTTGTCGTCTGTTGGGGGGGGGGGGGGGCAGGAGGTGGAGTAGGGGGATACTGAAAGTTTAATTTCTTAGTAGGTGTTGGTGTTGTAGATTTTACTTTAAGCACACCTGGTTAAAATGTTGACATAAGTTGATATTTTTTTTTCAATGCCTGGTGTGATTTTTTTCTTGACAGCACACTCATATATGGAGGGGTGAGGGGTCGTAATTGGTGGGAGGTGTGTGTGTGTGGGGGGGGGGGGGGGGGGGGGTAAGAAAGTGTGACGTCACACTGGGTGGAATTTAAATAGCTATTTTTAAAATCTGAACCTTAGCCGTTTCTTTAACATTTTTTTAAACATGCATTTTAAAATTATCATAAAATCTGATTAAGGCACCTGATTTACCCAGCTAAAATTGCATTTGGAGTTACTAAGGTTTGACGTCCATTTTTTTAATGGGGGGGGTGACTTTTTGTGATCAAATGTGACAAGAATGTATGTGTAACAACTACAGGACCGGATATAATCTAACTGATAATGCCATTGGTTTGTTTTTTTTTTAAATTAGGGATCCTTTATAAGTCCCCGTATTATACAGGAGTGTCAAATATTTGCTCTTTTTAAAAATGCCCACCACGGTTTAAAAAAAAAACTTTTGGGAGGAACCTAAGAAAGGTTGGGGAGAGGGGGGGGGGCTTATTAAGTTTACCTATACGTAAATTCGGCATTGTGAACGACCCCTTGCATTTAAAACTCATTTATATATATAATTCTCTTCTGGGAGCCGTTAGAAAACAAGCTGCAAGCGCCTCCTTGCAGTCCCCTCTCTTTCTCTCTATCACTATCACTACCACCCCACCCCCACATTGTCTGGTGAGCTGTGGTCACGCTAAATGTTACAAAGCTAAATGTTTACAAATCGTATAGCCGTAGAGCCGGGTTTCTATTAGGGGCAGATAATTTAGTTCGATTTTAAACTTACAGGAGGTAAACTAAGAAATAACTAAGAGGAGGCTGCTTTCACGGGGGGGGGGGGGGGGGTGTAGGGTCGGGGTTAGGGGAAAGGGGGGGGGGTTAGTGTTTTAAAGCAAATATTTTCAGTGGGCAGCATTGGTA